TAGTCAATTCTTTCCATAATGTTGATGTATGTAGGATCATATTTAATTATATTCCTTGGGAATGAAAAATGATTGTTTGGATTGAAAATTGTAAGCTTGAAAATTTGGTCACTTGAACATGGTATTTAGGACTTAAAAAACTTTTCAACTTTTTCATCTTTGCCCTTTTTGCAAGTTATCTCAATTTTTGTGATTTCATTTGATAAAATTCAACTATCAACCTTATTTTCATGAAATTTAACTTGAGAAGTCCATATTTGATTAAAAAACTCAAAAGTCAAAGTTTGACATTGAGCAATTGACTTTTCTAGATGAATTCAAATCTTCCAATTTCAAAGAAATATTCTGATCATGATGCAATCTTCAATACATTGAGACACCTTGAGGACTACGGGATGATGATATTGAGGACCTCTTGAGTTATGTACATTGGAACTTAACCTTCAAAATCCTAATTCCTGATTTTTCAACTAAGGATGCAAAAACCCTAATTCTCTTCAAGCACTTGATGATTCCATGATAAAACCTTAATGTGATGAGATTGTGATGAAGATGATGATATATATGATTTATTGATGCCAGATGACTTATGTGATGATACATATGATGTGGTATCTTAGATAAAAAATTAGGGTACAACAATTAATAATTCAAATCCCACCATCATATGTACATTAAAAAAGCAAAGCAAAGTTGTTGTGCAGAACATTGCAGAACAAAACAATACCAATAGAACAAACCAATGGCATTCATGTTTAAAAAAAATTCAAACGGGAATAAAGTAGCATTTAGAGTAAAAATCAATTCTAACCTTTGTACCCTTCAATCCCTAATTTTCCCTTAAGGTGTTTCACTTAGTCAAACCTCGCCCTCTAAACTCCCTCTAACTTACTCAATCCACCTCGTGAACTCAAGTCACGAATTCTACCTTCACTCCATAATTGTCTCAACCTCTGAGTCATCACTCAACTGTTAAATTCTATCTAACCTTCACATGCGTACCAAGTCTTTTCCTTTCTATAAAACAGAGAAATTATTTCATTCAGGGGAAAACATAACCCTAATGATCACCTTCCCATTTTCCCCTCACGGTCCCTCACTCAAAGTCCAAAAAAAAAAGTTAGAGTTTCACACGGAAACTCTAACTTTGGACCAAACTAAGCCTACACAATCACTACCACCATAGGAAAACCGTAATTCAATACACACACAACAACAGAAGAAGGAAGCACAAAGAAGTGGAAGTAGGGAAAAAGAAGAAGAAGAGAGGTAATACACGCAAAGAAAAAAGGAGTGCAACATCATGCCTTGTAAATCGACCCTCCAAGAACACTTAGAGTTCCAAGCTCTTAATTCTCCTTGCTCTCATGACTTATTGTTGTCGATATTGTTCATACTTGTGTGTTTGGAACCGCAAGCTTATTCTATAAATTAGGGCTTTGAATGTTGTTTTCAGTTTGTTTGAATTTGGTTTTTGTTATGTTGTTTTTGAACTTATGCTTGATTGTGGTTCAGTTGAGTTTACTTTTGAGATTATTGGGTAGTTGGGTTTTAGGATTTGGAGAATCTAGGGTTTCCGTCCATGGAAAGCCCTGATCTGGTCAAGAGTTATGATTTTAGATTTTTTTTGTGATCATATTCGACTTTGGGGTTAAATTTGGAAGGGGTTATTTTAGGTCATTTTGTGTTTGGGGTTGTTTAGAGGGTGGTTTACCGGAGAAGAAGGTGGTGGTCGCTGCATGCCGCCGCTCCTCTAGACGGTGGTTGATTGCCGACAGATGTGAGAGGTGCTAATACCTTCTCCTTGCATAACCGGCTTCCGAATCCATCCATGGTTGCGACGACAATTCCTTTTTCCTTCATGGATTTTATTCGATGTTTTCTCTTTTCTCTTGAAATAAATAAAGATCAATGGAGACTCTGTTATATTTCGAGTATGCGATAAACTCGAGTATTTTTCATATCACGACACTTAATTGCATCCTTCAAGTGAACACAATCATCAGTCTTGTACATGTCACTCTTCTAGAATCTGAAAATTTTAGATTTTCCCGTTTGCGCTTACTCTCTCATCGGATGAGTGTACTTCACTTGAGACTCTTTGATCTTTATTTTTTCACATTTATATATAATTCTTTCTATTCAAGTGTTTAGAGGTTTGTATTCTAATAAATCTAGCATGCAGTCTCTTGTGCCTATATGTGTCTCCGTCGTCATGAAGCATGTTATCACATTTCTTCCTAGTCAGTTCTAAATTTTCTCGAGGTCTAGTGTTTTTCAATATCTTCGGATAACAACTTATCATCATATTTTATGCACGATTGGGCTCGAGTGAGGAGATAATTCATGCTTCACATGTCTTTGAAACCCAATTTCTCCTACATGCTACCTGGCCTCAATCATTTCTCAAAACTCCTGATTGGCTCCTCCCATTTTAACATGCACCTTCGTAAATCTATAGATGTACTCTCTGAGGGAATCTTTATTCTTCATGTGGATTCCATTAAGGACTTTGATCTTCTTAAATTGATGTTATAATAGCTTCCTCCAGAAGTTGATAGAATTGTCCTCCAAGGTATTGAACCACGTCATAACAGCATCTTTAAGAGTCAATACAAATAACATGCATGATGTATGAGAAGAGGCATGATGAGTGGAATTATGATCATTTCCCCTTCGAGAACGGTGGTTCACATATACCAAGTGAACAAGTGAAATATATGCATGCATTGGTATTACATTATCAGTTACATGAAATTATTTACAGTAATATGAAATTATATACATTGACATTAAATACATACATGCATTCAAAGGTGAGCCATTGTATGAACATTATCATGTTTATGGATGTAAATACATGCATGAAATTATATTATCTGTGACAAAAGTACATAATGTCACCTAGCCCAGTATGCTCCAGCTTGAAATTTTCATCGGCAAACTTTCTTAATAAGTAAAGCATTACCATCCATTAAGAGTATTAAGAGTATGTGACTAAGAGAAGAGTACGTAATCAAAAATAAAATCAGAAACTTTGTAAGTTGATTTAACTAAAATTCTAGTTATAACTAGTGCCTAAAACCAACACCAACGCAAGAACAAACTAGCATCTAGAATTTTCCTTGTATATTTAATTTTGTAAGTGATTTTTTGTTGTATATGTATGTACTAATTAACTACACCAAACATGGTCTAAGTTGGACTATAAAAACTCTCAATCTAGCACTTAAGTTGTCACTTGTCTTAGTTATTTTAATCATATTTTGCCACTTTCAAGCATAGCCAAAGTCCTAAGCGGTAGCAGTAGCAGAACACTTTTGGCAACAACATTTCCTAATATAGGCATAATTCTAGGTTTAAGGTTTCTTACTTTACACTAGCATATTTCAATTATAGAGTCAAAAATTCCTAAAAGAAAAAAACAAACACATTATGTTTTGCCTTGGAGTATAATGTTACCATCGCATTATCATCGAGATCGTGTAAAGACTTTCGCGATTTCGTTTAGTATAAATGTTGCGATATTGATTTTGGTCGATGTGGTGTTAATTAATCATAATTTATTCATTATCATAAAAACGGTGAATAACAGTATCGACATCGATAAATTTTAAAATTGTTTTGTCGCAGTCGTTTTTATGGTAACTGTTGTTTTTTAAAAACATTGCTTAAAACAACAAATTATTTTGGATTACAATCAAAATGGTTACATTAACATTATTGAAATTGCACATTTATTTGAAGAAATATGCCCTGCAAGTTATTGAAAAAATATAAGTTGATCATGAAAATAAGAGTTTCATTATGTTCAACATAACATAGTAAACCAAATAACACACTTGAATATGAACTTTAACCATAAGAACATTACCACAATGAAAAGGGTTTATCAATATCCATAACATTTTCCTATTTCAAAAACAAAATATCTAAGAGTGTAAATGGATCAGAAAAATCTAATTAAACCGACAATTCAAATTAAATCAAACTGAAATAAAATGGATTGTTTTTATTTTGTTTTAAAATCGAACTAAATCAATAAAAATCGGTGTGGTTCAGTTAATGGTTTTAGTTTTTAGAAACCGTCAAACCGATGAACCGAACTAATGGAAATAATGACGCTCTAAATATTTTATTCCATCAATCATTAAACTTAAATTTTTTATCGGTTCAACCATTATCTATCTTTGTTTACATTTTTTTCCTTTATGAAAAACACACATTTAGAATCAAACTCCAAATGATAGAAAGTAGAAATCATAAGTCACAAAAAACGTGTTTTCACTGAACTGCTGCTCTAGCTACCCGTCACGATTGTTTCTCTCACTATTATAATTCTGATATGTTATGATCGTCTTCTTTGTGTTCAAGTTCTTTTCGTTAATTTTCAAATTTTTTAACATTTTTTATTTCTTCTTCTTCAACAAAATTCTTTCTAGTCTTCTTATAAAATAGCTTTGATGTGTGTTTGAGGTGTGAACATTGTTAATTGATGTATGTTTTGTTGTGTTCTATTTGTTAAGCTTTGAAATCTCTTTCTAAAATTATGAAGACAAGTGTTAACTTTTATATTTGATAATGAACTTATTTCAAAATGCAATGGAAATCATTTCACCGTTTCGTAGGGGTTAAGAACAACTTGTAATTTGTTTGAAAAAAATAGAGCATGAAATAAATGACATAAAATATATTATTTTAAAAAATAATAGCATAAAATACATCAAAAAACTTGATAGTAAAGAATACACTGATGAAAATAATGTTTGAAAAATAAACATTGTAAACCGATCAACCAAACTAAACCAAACTGAGCCAAACTGGTTAGTTTAGTTCGGTTTCATTTTTAAAAAATATTGAAAATCCAACCAAACTAAATTGATGGAAATATCATTGGTTAAGACTTTTTTTTTTGGACGAAAAACCGATCCAAAGATCTGATTACACCCCTAAAAAAATCCATAATATTTCTATTGAACTAAACTCGATCCAAAATAAATTCACAGCACATGCATAACCTCATTCTTCACAGCTTCATGTTCATGGCTGAAAGGAACTTCTTCCTCTACATCTTTGTTAAATTCATGAAGGTTCTCAGTCTTCTCCAAGGAACTGGAAGTTGAGTGAGCATAGTGTCTAGAATTCACCTTTGTATTTTCTTTTGCATCTTTCTCATTTCATATTTGTTTCTTCCTTCTAATGATTGTTTGTCTACCTTCTTCCTCACTCTCAATATCTGATTTGGTATAATTAAGTGAATTCTCAATAATTAAAGTAGCATCAAGTTAATGTTTAATAGTCTCACTTTTCATATCAAAAGAATCTTCAATCTCTGGAAATTTGTTCAAATCAATATGAAATTTCAGTTTTCCAGCATAAGACTTGAAGTCATCTTCATTAGAGTTATGATATTTCATGCCCATGCTAATGTCAGAAACATAGGAATAATGCAGGGAAGAGAAAGGAAATGTGAATGTATAGATTTTAGGCACTGCTTGTGGCTGCTTGTGTGCTTGCAACTTTCCCTCCAAATTTTTGCATGGAGAATATGTATATGTAACTAATGCACTTACATTGAAATAGGTTATGTGATTTTATTTAATAACGGTACATATGGAATTATGTATTTAATAAAATTATAATTTAAAGTGTGTTTCTTATAAAAAAAGACTAAAAAAATTACAAAAGAAGGACAGGAGGGAGTAAAAGACAATTTCCCATATGGCACCATTATTCCGTAGTGAAACGAAAAATGGGTATTATGTTGATGGTGAACACCGAAAAAAGGTTTTTAATGCAATGGTAAGTGTCTCATATAATTACAGAGGAGATATCTATAATGTTAGCATTTTAACGCTCAAGTCACACTACAATAAAAAAACACATTTTAGTTCGGACACGAAGTGGATTGTATCTAAGCTACACAAGTGAAATAACAAAGGAAGACATGAAAACTTGTCATTTTATCAATAACTAAGGGAATAGTTGAAATGGTCTTGGATTAGATTTCCAAGGAATCCGTTTTGTAATTTATAAATGGAGAAAACACATATCCCCTCAGTTTTGAAATATAATCGACGGATAAACAAATTTGAGTTTATTATATCTAATGTGCATTGTTTGCATTATTTTTGCCTATCTGAACATATAACTTTCCAAATTGGGTTGCAAAATAAATATACGAATAATTATATTTGAAAAATAAATTAAACTAAATAATAATTTTCGAGCATTTTGAAACTCATCATTCATCTCATGTTCTTCAATGGTTAAAATCTCTCCAATACTTCTTGATTTCGTTCAAATTTGTTTCATACTTTTTCAATGAACAAGTATGGAAGAAGGTTGAACAGAAACTAAAAGCGTTGGAGATTTTAACAATTAAAGAACATGAAATGAACAATGAGTTGTAAAATTCTCGAAAAACATTGATTAGTGTTAGATGTTTTTCAAATACAACATGATTTTTCATATTATTTCCAAAAATAATTTAATAGATTATCTGTTCAAAGAGGGGTTAGTGAAATAAACAATCGAAATTAGACACAATAAACTCAATTGTATTTTATGTCACTATAATTGCACAAAGAATCACAAAGAATCACAAAAAACATAATGTTAGTCTCAAACTCAAATTCAATAATAACAACTAAATCCTAAATATATAGATTTCAAAACTTTGCTAAGTATAACAACTAGACAACAACAATAATAACATCAACAACTCAAAAACAACAATAAATAACAACAACATTAATATTATCTCAATCTAAACAACAACTAAAAAAACAATCTCTGAATAAAAATACAGCAACATCAACAATAAACCTATAACTTCAATCTCAATAAACATATAACATATTTATCTCAACAAAAACAATAACATATAACATCAATCTCACTTTAAATAACAACAACAATAAACCTATAACTTCAATCTCAATAAACATATATCATATTTATCTCAACAAAAACAATAACATATAACATCAATCTCAGCTTAAATAACAACAACAAGATTAAACCTCTAAGATTTTGAGTCTCAACAACAACAAAGTTAATGTAATATGAATAGTGATGTTAGACATACCAAATTTGTGAAGAAGAAGTGAAGAAGAAACAATAGAAGAAGAAGAAGAAAAAGAATAAGCGAACAAGAACCCTAAACACATATCATCTTCGTATTTCCTTACTTTTTAGGAGTTGGAGGATTGTATGTGTTTAGGACTCTCGTTGTCTAGAGCTCTTCGTTAGAGTTTTGTGGGATTTTTTTAGCATATATTTTTAGGTAAGTGAAACAGAACGCTACAAGCTAATATATATATATATATATATATATATATATATATATATATATATATATATATATATATATATATATATATATATATATATATATATATATATATATATATATATATATATATATATATATATATATATATATATATATATATATATAAAACAATTTCACCTCGATTGGTAAATAAAACTGAGGTGGAAAGTGAATTATTTTTGTATTAAAAACATAAATCGAAGTTGTTGGGATTTGAAGTATGTACCCTAAAATAGTTTACCCCTTGATGTTTTAAAAAAAATTGATGGGTAAATTAATTCGAAGCATAAACTAAAGTTAATGAGATAATCTGAATTATTTTACCCCTCGATAGAAAAACAGAGGGAATAGTTTGTTCATTTTAAAAACAAAAATATATATATGACGCATTAAGGTATTATACCTCAGTGTTTTGTTACGTGAGGTAAAAATGTTGTAATAAAATATAATATTTGTAGTAGTGTCACCAAAGTGATAGAATTGAAACTTGCAAGTGTATGAATGAGTAATACCTTAGTTTAACCCAGAATCACACTTATATAAGGGGTAAAATTGTCATCAGTGGATACGATGCGAGAAGCATGATGTCGTTGGATGAATATCAATGGTTGAGATCATTTGACGAATATCAACGGTTGAGATGAAAGCAGCGCCTACTCCAATGTGTTATTTTAGTATGAGTATCCACACGTTCTCCAATTAAGTAAACGCATGTAATAGGATTGGACATTTGGATTGAGTCAGGCTATTGGACTGTTGGTCATCTCATAAACACAAATTTTAAAATATTAGGCAAAATATTTATTTTGGTCCCTGATCTATACCCTTAAGTTCAGATTAATCCCTTAATTTTTTTCGTTTCACTTTGATCTCTTAACTTTCAAAACATTTCATTTTAGTTTTTTCTGTCTAATTAGCGACAGATTCAGCGACGAATTTTAAAATTTTTCCGTTGTTAATTAGATAAAAATGACTAAAATGAAACATTTTGAAAATTAAATGACCAATGTGACACAAAAATTAAAGAATCAAAATGAGTATTTTGTCAAAATATTAATACGTAGTAATTTAACATGCACATTGTAGAATAATTTATTTATTTTTGATAAATTTCTTTAATTTTATATGTAATTTAAAATCTTTAATTTCTTTAAGTTGAACAAAATATTTTTTAAATTCTCATCATTTTTAAAATTCTCTAAATTTTCATGCAGACAATGAAATTTACTTTAATACATTTGAATTTACGCAAAAGTTACTTTACCTCAAAACATTCCATCATTCAAATATACTCTAAATCACTTACTCCTTCTCTCTAAGAATAAGTTTAAGAAAACAATCTTTTATTTCAATTAAAAATTCTCTTTAAGCTAAAAGTTAATACAAAACGACACTAAAATAGAAGAGAGCCTATGATATATTGGAGCTGTCGATAAGATTGTAATCTTCCTTAACTTATGTTTGTTCATTCACAATGTAAAAACAAAAGACAAATCAACTTCTCTTTTTTTTTGTCAAACTGATTGTTTGTATTGCTTTCTTCAGACATGAAGACTAACCTTTAGACAATCCTAAATCATGAAGTTTTTCGGCTGAGAAAAAGACCATAGACATGTTAATGTTTATCTTTTTTGCAACATTCAAAAAAAGGGACAATGCAGAAACAGTCAGATTCCAATAAAATCTTTGCAGCGCCAGTAAGGAGCCTTTTTCATTTCATGACCCATCGTCATTTCAATGTTCCACGACAATATGGTCTCACAATTTCATTTCAATTTCAAGTTGTAAAACTCAACTATCTAAGATTCATAAGTATAAATTAAGACAATTTCTTTTTCTACCTTTATTGTATGAATCGCATCTTTGAAAATTTAAAAATATTTTTGAAAATTTTCAGAGATGCATCTTTAAAAATATTAAACAGAAAATTGAATATATCACCACTTTGCATGATCATCACTCTCATACTTCATTCATCCTCCATAACCCAAAATCATTAAAAAAACATTCATTCTCAATCATTTTTTCCACTCCAAATCATCATCTTGTGTTTTAACACATTAAAGGAAGCAAAAGAAGCAGTAATTTAAGGTAAAGTTCATTTATTTCATCCTTGATTGTTTGCTTTAATCTTGTTTTAAGCTGGGAAAAAAGTACCTTGAGTCTAGAGATGCATCTCTGAATTCACATGCTATTTGTTTCAGAGATACATCTCCGAATTTGTCTGTTCCTGTAAACTTTTTTATAGTTTTTCTGTTTTGGTTCGAATTAGGTATGATTCATCCGGATATGTTACCCAAAATTGTTGTAAGTACCGATGCAAAACCTGATGAAGTGAAGGAAGATGTTAAACCATATGAGGTGAAGGACGATGTGGATGAGGTGAAGGAAGATGTTAAACCGGATGAGGTGAAGGACGATGTTAGACCGGTTGATGTCGAGGTAGATGTTGGTCAACACTTTATAAATGAATAATTGTTTACTACTCGTGAACATATGCTTGAATGAGTCCACATGGTAGCCGGAAAATAGAAGTTTGACATTGTAATCGGAAGGTCTAAGAATGCAAGCAATTGTTACCATGAGATGCGAGAGAAGTGGTATGTATGTTCCACCAATTTGGAAGTCAAAACGTTATGACACGAGATCAAGGAAATGTGGGTTCCCATTTTAATTACATGGATACCGTAAGGCGGGTGATACAAGGAAATTTAATGTGATTTCTGGTTTACATAATCATGCATTGCAATCCAAGCTAGTCGGTCATCTCATCGTATGTCGCCTTAAATCGGTGGAGAAGGAAATTGTTTCTGACATGTATTCAATTAGCATGACGCCTAAAAACATACTTGCATATTTGAAACGGAAAAGACCTGAAAGTGTTTTAAATATCAAGCAGGTATACAGTCATGTTATCGAAACAATATGGCAATAAGAGGTCTGAAATCTGAAATGCAATAACTTTTAAAGCTATTGGATGACAACCGTTGTATTTCTAGGTACATGGTTTGTGATGATAAAGTCATTGTTTGTGACATATTTTGGACACACCCCGAAAGTATCAATTTGTTCAACATATTTTTCACTGTTCTCATAATTTATTCAACGTATCAGACCAACAAGTATAGGCATCAGCTTTTGGAAATTGTTGGTGTTACATCTACAGAGAAGACTTTTTCAGTGGGATTTATATTTTTGGAATAAAAAAAGAGAACATCTCTACATGGGCATTAGATATTATGAACATGTTGCAACGTCTGAAACTACCTATTTATAATGATGTGTAATGTTAATTTTCTGATTATCAATTATTTATGTAATGTTGAGTGTTTTAATTTAATTTCAATTTGTTACAAATTTTCAATTTTATCCATATTGTATGTCTATGTTTTCTGTTTTTCATTAAGCATCTGAGATATTTTTGGATATACATCTCTGAATTATATTAGATATAAATTCGGAGATGTATCTCCAAATCAAATTTTAACAAAAATAATTTTTGATGCATTCGGAGGTGCATCTTTGAACTATAGAGACATTTTTGAATTTTCACCAGAGATTTGTGAGAAAGCACAAGAATGAAAAAATAAATTGCTTAAATTAAATCACTCAAATACCCTAAAAAGTTTTACACTAAGTCACACCTTTCTAGTTCTTCATAAATATATTTTTCAACTTGAATCCATTTCGATTAAAATTTTCAAACAATTCGATTCACTTTGATAACTCAAATTTATTATGGGTCAATAGATTGATTCAAATGGACTATGAGATAAATAAATGAATAAATTGTAAAAAGCAAAAAATTTAACTAAGAGTCAAATACGTTATATTACGTTTCAATGATTATTTTAAAAAAAATGCTTAAATGGAGTTTTGGTTTCCGTTCTTTATTTTTTCTAACTTATTAGTCCCCTTTAAAAAAAATAGGTTTTAGGTTCCTTCTTTTAAATATTTTTGAGATTTTTTTGGTTCCCTCTTAGATTTGGTTACGTGGCAGCTTCCTTTATGACGTAGAAAAGGAAATGTTTACCAATTTTGAAAAATTATTTGCCACATCATTTAAAAATATTTTAAATTAAATAATTTAAATGAAATATCTCATACTCTTCATCATCTTCACTCTCAGGTGGTGTATGAAGTTGGTCAAAATCCTTACCATTATCATAGTCAAAGTCATTCTCGTGTGGTTTAGTTGTTTCATTTGGTTGTACAGTTGTCTAATCTAACTCATGCTCACTCTCCTCACCATCATCTACTTCATCCTCTACTTCAATTTCATTATACACTTCAAGTTCATCATCTACTTCTACTTTATTATCCACTTCAAATTTATCATCTACTTCCACTTTATTATCCACTTCAACTTCACCATCTATCTCAACTTCATCATCCACTTCAACAAACTTCTCAGCAGTACAATGAACTTCATCATCATTAAAAATTATGTCATGCCATATTTCCGCCTCATCTACAATGTCAGATTCACTAATCTTATGCTCAACATACAAATCTATTAACTCATAGCCATCAACATCTTTAATCAGTTGCAACACGTCATTATCACAATTAAATGTTCTAAGGCCACGAGTAAAGCTAAACCTAGGGTTCAAATTGTTGGGTTTGGGCTCTCTTCCTATATAGAGAAAGACCAAAATACTAATAACTCATGTGTCTCACTTATTTAAGTGGAGAGTGTCAATTTAGGGTTATGAGAAAAATAGAGAGAAAATAAGGATTCAAAAGATAGAAAATAAGAGAGAAACTCATTTTCGTTTTTCTGCACCAGTCTCACTAAATAAGAGTGAGAATAATAGTCATATTGGCTAGTGGAGAAAAGGTTTCTTCATAACCCATGCCATATTGTTAAGAGAACCCCTTAGAAACAACATGTGTTTTGTGAAGTTACATGATGCATGTCTCTACCCCATGGTTTAAGTGGTTTTTATTGCTTGTCTATTAAGCTTTTCGTTTTGTTTATTTAGCTATTGAGTCTCCTCATCGATTGTGCATTTGTAGGTTGATTGTTAAATCCATTTTTTAGCACGCATGAATCAAAGTGCTTGGATATAGTTTAATAAATATATTTAAGTCATTCTATTGAGTTTTTGGATCAAGAACTATGTTTGAGAATGGTTTAAGTCATGACTATAATAGAATCTCAAAAACCTTTTGAAATTTTGTAAGATTGAGATTCTACCAGTGTGATTCGAATCACACAATTTCCTAGTCTTCATGATTTAAATCTCACACTTCATGATTCGAGTCACATCACTATAATCAAATCACAAGAATGCTTGATTCAAATCACACTGAACTGGAAAACTTCTTGGTTTTCTTCTAGAACTCTGATTTGAATCACCACTTTTCTGAATCGAATCATGTGACTCAAATCACAATTTGTGTGACTCAAAACACATAAATGGGTTTCATATAGTTTTTTCTTCTTGATTCAAATCACTTAGTTTTCTAACTCCAATCATATCTCTTGTTTGTGACTCTAACCATGAACTATTTTCACTCATATTTGTGCTAGAGCTCCACCACATTTAAATAGCATTTTCCCTCAAAAACCTCTCATAATGTTAGAAAACATACACTTCCAATATTGATTTGAAAATTCACAACTCATTTGTTCTATCATTTTCAAAGAGAGTTTTGAATCTTTTTTCAGTGTTTGCAAACAATTTAGTTCATCTCTTACCTTAATCTAATTCCATTTTAATATGGATCTAAATCTCATCTTTGAATATTTGTGATTGTTTAGGAGATTTTTTTATTGCTTTAATGTTTATTTGAATGTTTTCTTAAGATTTCAGAGGTTTGCAAGGTATGTGATGTTGTGGCAGGTTTTGATAAGTCCAATGGAAAAGAAGGCAGTTCTTCCCTCCATATTAACTTTGGTAGTATTATGTATAAGCTTACGGACAAGGTGGGAGTTCTTCTCAATATTTAGAGAGACCAACATTGAAGATACCAGTAGGATCAAGGAAATACCATTGCAGAACGGAGACTTTGGAGCAGGATTGTTAGAGCTGGAAGATTCAAGACAGTTTCATGTAAATATTTTGCAAGAACTCATTTTGGATTTTGTGTATAATTCAAGAGATCCAAATAGAAGATTTTAATTTTTTTTTGTTATTTGGATATTATGATTGTACTAAAACTCGTGTAATTTTTCACAAACTATATTGGAAGACCAAAAATTTTCAATAAGAAACCATTGGAAAGTGTAATAAGCTTAACAAGAACGATAGTTGAACCACTGTAAATATGGTGTACACTTCTCTCTCTCTCTCTCTCTCTCTCTCTCTCTCTCTCTCTCTCTCTCTCTCTCACACACACACACACACACACACACACACACACACACACACACACACACAAACACACATACACACACAAACACACACACACACACACACATTCTCTCTATTTTAATTTCATAGAAATTGCATGTTATGTTCCTCTTGTCACTTTTCTATAATTACATGCCATTAGGTTTTTCCGTGATGGCAATTTATTAATTAAATGTAGGTTTTTTTAGAATCGAAACTTTTGATTTGTCTTGTTGTTTATTAAGTCTGAAAATCGTGATCATAGAATTTACGCTTGTATTGATTTCATATATTTACTAGTCTTGTGTGAATTATATATAAATTCAATAAAATACATTAGTTTTTTCATTTTGGTTAAATATTTGATTCGATCTTTGTTGTATTATGTACTGATTAAGTTTTTATATGTATAAACCAATCGATAAGCATAATTACTTTATACGTAATTTGCTTCTGCCGGGAAAACTATTTTTGTTTTACAAACTCTGATTAAATCTTTTCAAGATAATTTCTCAACTGGTCATTTTATTTGGGAGGTCTATTGAAACCCCCCCCCCCTGTAACACCCCAATTCTACCCCAAGCAATTATATAAATAAATCAGAGTTATAAAATTCAATCATGCAAACAAATTGGGACATCACAAATTCTTCTATAAAAATTCATTGCATTCATCGTGGATATATAACACTTTCAAAATATCGGATGAACCATCATAACATCTTTAATTAAATAATTCAACATCTACGCAGCCGAATTCTTAATAACATCTCTAACAACAAAACAGCAACTTCGAAACATCACATATTTAATAATAATCAACAATCAAAAACAGCAAGCGTTCATCCTCCCGAGTATTACATATTAGAGCAATAACACCGACTCGAACTACTGAAGGTATACATCCTTCACTCTCGATTACCTGCACGTTACCAACACAAGGGAAACATTCAAACAGAAGGGGTGAGATATCTAACAATATAATAAAGCGCATGATAATTAATATATTAAATTAGATCAATAATATCACCACTTCTCATCTCATAATCAACAATAATTACAACGTATATACACATTCATCAACATCAAATACACTTCTTTATGCCATCATATAATGTGACTCAATACTATGCAAATGCATATGGTACCATTGGAGCAGAACTTCCATCTCAAAAATTTGCCAATTAATAGAGGCATCAACAAGGCATAGCCTTCATCTCAAAATTTGCCAATACAGGTCATCCCAACGAGCATAAGCTCCATCTCAAAAATGCAATGTATGCGACACAACCATGAATGTAATAACAACACCCAAGTTAACAACATTTCAAATCATCTAAAAAACATCTCAATTAACATCTCAAAATAACAACATCTCAAATGCATCTCAATTAACATCTCAAAAACATCTCAAAATAACAACATCTCAAATGCATCTCAACGTCTCGTCATCAACATCTCATATCATCAAAATAACTTATTACACATCATTTATAAACCATCAAACGTCATTTATTATTATAAATCATCAACAGAACATCATGAATAACTTCTCACTAATAACTCCGTTGTACATTAAGTCCATAGTAAGTCACTACTGCTATTCTGTACTCTAACGTCATTACCGTCACTATCCTACTGTTATAGTTCAAGAAGCAGATTGTAAGCATCTAACTTCCATATTTTGTACGAAAACAACGTAAAGGCCAACACAACTTCTGACCAACTCAACTTCTAACCAACACAACTTCTAATAACACAACTTCTAATAACACAACTTCTGACCAATACAACTTCTGACCAATACAACTTCTGGCCAACTCAACTTCTGACCCATACAACTTCTGACCAACTCAACTTCTGACAACACAACTTCTGATCAGTATAACTTCTGATCAGTACAACTTCTGACCAACTCAACTTCTGACAATGCAACTTTTGATGACACAATCTTCTGACAACATAACTTCTAACCAACACAGCTTCTACCATCAGAACTTCTACTTTCTAATAATCTAACGCAACTTCTAACAACATACTTCTAACATCAAAACTGTTATTTTCTATTAATCCTACTATTTTAATTCTTAGCCTGATATCAACCTAACTAAGAACAGTACGACTAACTCTGCCCCCAAATTAATTCATTATTCTAATACAACGACTTCTGATATCCTTCTGGCCTAATTCTGTGTTTTTCATCACTGCACTATTCTGCGTTTTCATTACTGCAATATTCTACGTTTTCTTCCCTGCACCTCACTATGGGATTCACGCTTAAATCCCTAAAACTTAACATAATCGTGATAATTCATCACCTATAATTATCGTATAATTTCTACATCAATTAAACAACATCATGACATCGATATTCATCTAAAATTCATCAATTCTTCATCATACAACAATCATATATTCTCAATTCAAGAATAAGACAACAAACTTCTCTAACCCCACATACCAATCATCATAAACCAAATTATAGAGTCAGAACCCCACCCTTACCTTGGATTGAAGGTCGCTCTACAATTTCCGGTTGAATTCACGTTCTTGCTGTTTTCCACTTTCTCTAGCAGCTTGCACGTTCTTTCTCAATCCTTATTCTTCAACTGCCTATTTCTTTCTATTCTCTTCTAACAACAATAAAATAACCCTATTTATTCTATTGACTCCTTATTGGGCTTAAAACCAATACACCCCCTTATTACTTCTATTCATTTAAAAACAAGCCCACAATAATTAATATTATACTTCTAATATTATTTCTCCACTTAATATTAAAAATCCAATTAATTATAACACCACTTCACAATATTCCAAAAATAATTTAATTAAATAATTAATTAAATTACAGGCGTTACAACTCTCCCCCACTTAGGATATTTTCGTCCTTGAAAATTTACGTCAATCAAACAATTCAGGATAGGAGTCTCGCATCTTGCTCTCCAACTCCCAAGTCATGCTTTCACCAACAGCTCCTAGCCAAACCACTTTAACCAAGGCAATCTCTTTTCCCCTCAGAGTCTTGATTTCACGATCCGCGATCCGTACAGGCATCGTCTCCACCGTAAGATTATCTCGTACTTGCACATCGTCCATATGAATCACATGAGATAGATCTGAAATATACTTCCGAAGTTGCGACACGTGAAACACATCATGCAAATTCGAAATATTAGGCGGTAAAGCCACTCTATAAGCAACATTCCCCACTCTCTCTGAAATCTGATACGGTCCAATAAAACGAGAAGTGAGCTTCTTAGACTTCAATGCTCGCCCAACACCAGTCACAGGTGTAACTCTCAAAAACACATGCTCACCAGCTTGAAATTCTAAATCTTTCCTTCGCTTGTCATGATAACTCTTCTGTCTACTTTGTGAAGCTTTCATCTTTTCTCAAATCAACTTCACCTTCTCAGTAGTCTCACGAACAAGTTCAGGTCCAAGTACTACACTTTCACCAGATTCATGCCAACATAACAGAGATCTACATCTTCGACCATACAGTGCTTCAAAAGGTGCCATCCCAATACTAGAATGGTAACTGTTATTATACGTGAACTCTATCAACGGAAGATAAGTATCCCACGAACCTCCCTGCTCAAGAACACATTCCCTCAACAAATCTTCCAACGATTGAATAGTCCGTTCAGTCTGACCATCTGTCTGAGGATGATACGCTGAACTCAATCTCAACTTAAAACCCAACGCTTCTTGCAAACTCTTCCAAAAATCAGAAGTAAATCTTGGATCTCTATCTGACACAATGCACAAAGGAACACCATGCAGCTTCACCATCACACTAATATAAATCTCAGCCAACTTCAGCACTGGAAAGCTGATGTTAATAGGAATAAAATAAGCTGACTTCGTAAGCCCATCAACAATTACCCAAATCAAATCATGTACTCTTAAAGTATTAGGCAACCCTGTCACAAAGTCCATTGAAATGCTATCCCATTTCCATTCTGGAACTTCCAACGGTTGCATCAACCCTGCAGGCTTCTGATGTTTAACTTTCGACTTCTGACAAGTCAAACATGCATACACAAACCTAGCCACATCACTCTTCATCCCAGGCCACCAAAATAAACCTTTCAAATCTTGATACATCTTTGTAGCTCTTGGATGAATACTCAACTTACTTCTATGGCTCTCTTCAAGTATCTCTTTCTTCATCTCAGCATCATCAGGAATACAAATCCGATTACGAAATCTCAACACACCTTGCGCATCTAGCTTAAAATTATGGTTCTCAGACTGATCGATCCCAACCATCAAATTTACCAGTTTCACATCCAACTTCT